AGGTCACTGATCACCTACAGTAGAGAAATGAGATTTTACTTTCAATAGTTTTACGTCGCTATGCAAAATAAAAAGGCTTCTATCACCCAGGGTGAGACGAGAGGAAGTTTCACGCTGTTACTGGCTAAAAATACCCCGCTCCTTCCCTTCCTCTAGGCTGACACCGTGGTGCCTTACTGTGCTTGAGCAGTGAACTGCAACCCTAACTGAACATCAACCCTGTTAAGCCACATCTGTGGTGGCCTATTGGCTTTTTGAGGCGTGCGCGAAACGCTACACGTCGTACGCTCAGATCTAGTTCTGGTTGGGCGACGGGCTATCCTCGCCGTCCGCACACCCTCAAGTTTTCTGTCGGTAGTCAAAAGCTTAAGTAATAATTATATTTGTCTGTGTACGACAGTTATTGCAGTGTCATCAACAAATTTGTCTGTATATTATGGACCCTGACTAAACATCAGCCCTGTTGAGCCATATCTGTGGTAGCCTATTGGCTTTTTGAGGCGTGAGCGAAACGCTACACGGCGTACCCTCGGGTCTAGTTCTGGTTGGGTAACGGGCTACTCCCGCCGTCCGCACACCCTCAAGTTTTCTGTCGGTAGTCAAAAGCTTAAGTAATATATATATGTGTCTGTGTACGACAGTTATTGTAGTGTTATTATCAACAAGTTCGTTGAATTTGTCTGTCTGTTTGTGGTTAAAGATTAGTATAGTAATTGTATCGCATTTAGAACTATATCACAATAACTTCTTTAGTTAATAGTTCGAAGATCATAATAGACTATTAAAACAATATGATATTAGTTTACTAATAGTCACGTTTTGACGTTGTAATAGAATTTAATTTTAACTAATCGTTAAAACTTATGTTATTGGTTTTGCTTGAAGTTATTAAAACTAAGCGTTTGCTTAATATACATACATTTTACTGTTAATATTCTAGTTACATACGTCATCGCACTTCACGTACGGTGATGGAAAATTTCACAAAGGAACCTAGCCTTAAACTTCTAATTATAAGTTCGAAATCGAAACCAACCTTGATCAAGCGTGGTGAATGATGCTCTGACCTTTTTCGCGTGAGGAAAGGCCTTTACAGTGACCAATTATAGACTGATGACGACGGTTCTTGTGAGAGCAGAAGAGGAAAAGTGAAAGATGAAGAAGTGTGATGAAGTGTGGGAGAGCCATGCTTCGGCACGAATGGGTCGGCTCGGCCGAAGTGATACCACGGCCTCACAGGAAACCGGCGTGAAACAACCACAACGTTGTGTTTCGCCGTGTGAGTGAGGTTACCGGAGGCCCAATCCTTCCCCTACCCCAATCCCTTCCCAGTCCGACCTTTTAAGGATTGGGATTTTGGGGATTTTGTCCCCAAAATCCCAATCCTTTATTGGGATTTTGCGTGCGTTGAGTTACCAGTGCGTTGCCGACCTTAAAAGGTCGGCAACGCACTGGTAACTCCTTCTTTGTTGCGGGTGTCCATGGGCGACGCCGATTGCTTACCATCAGGTAATCCGTCTGCTCGTTTGCCGTCCTATCACATAAAAAAAAGACAATAAAAAAAATCTGGAATTCTTTTAGCAGTAAGATATTAAGTGAAAATACTAAGTCAGGTCCAAACGTAGGCAGTTCGGCAAAAAAGGCTAAACTGAACAATCCATCATTTTGAGTTGAAAAACCTGCTAGATAGGAATAATAATTTGGAAAGAGCCACATTTAGCATGATGGATGGTACGGGGTAAAGCAATGATAATACATAAAGGAATCGTAAGAAAGATGTATCGCTCTGATAATGGAAGGGTACAACACACTGATATGAAGGATGGAAAACAACTATCGCTAGACAAAAGTCAGATTAATAGCGATAAAAACAATTTTGATGAGCCAACGACATTCGGGGCCATCGAGATCTACATAGCATGTCATACATAAATAGAACTACATAGCATGTTAATATTTATGTATTAACTAGCTTTTGCCCGCGACTCCGTTCGCGTGGAAAAGTGACTTCCTGCAGATTTTTCGTATAAAAACCTTCCTACGTCCTTTCTTGAGATCCAAACTATGTCCATACAAAATTTCACAGAAATTGATTCAGTAGTTTAGACGTGAAGAAAAGACTGACAGACAGACAGAGTTACTTTCGCATTTATAATATTAGTGTGGATTAGCGATCGCTCGCCCGGTTTCACTCGCTGCTCAGCTCCATTTGATCGTAGCGTGATGTTGTATAGCCTATAGCACTCAGGAACATTGTAGCTATCTATGAGTGAAAGAATTTTGGCAATCCGACCATCGGTTCCCATTGCCCCCTACATACAAACTTACTTTTACCTCCTTATAATATAAGTATAGATAAATTCAGATTTAAAGTTTCTTTAAGCCCGAACCTTGCAATGCACTAATTCCTCTCTCTCTCTTTCTCTCTTTGGTTTTGTACAAAATCTCTTCCGACGGTCCTGTTGAGAGTTTGTTTCTTTCAAAGTTGTTTAATCTTCATATCTGTGTGTATCAGAGAGAGATTCTATTCGTGATAACATCATACATCATGCTAATATTAATACTAGAGGAAGTTAATGTTATCTGATTGCCATGTGCTTTATTTTTAACTTAGAGCAGTTCAGCCTCTCTATTTTTGATGGCTAGATTTATCACAGGCCAATTAGAGCTCCCGTCCGAACTTACAATAACTATGCTACATAAAAAAAAAAACTGATTTCGCCGTGTTTAGTTCGATGTGTGTCGCGGTTGCCTGGGGGTTAAGGCGAGAGGCAGGCGCCTCTCATGCATGAGGTGCGGGTTCAAAACAATTAAGTACCAATGAGACTTTTTCCGAGTTATATGTACTTTCTATGATTATTTAGACAACACTGACATACGGGTAAGGAAAACAATCGTGAGAAAACCTAGACTTATAATTTCTAATTATAATTTTGGCGCCAATCTGCCTTGAGCAAGCGTGGTGATTAATGCTCGAACCTTCTCCGTGTGAGAAGAGGCCTTTGCTCAGCAGTGGGCACTTATAGGCTGGTGATTACGAACATTTTTCAAGCGTCTTAATGTTATTGAATTGTTTTTATCAAAGTCTGCAACATTGTGTCTTATTTGCCATGTATTTTTAACGTAGGTACATAAGAAATATTTAATAAATAACTATTCAGGCTATTCATGCTTATAATATATTATTATTAAACATATTATCGTACAGCACTATATTAGATAGCGTAGAATGTCAATATTGTAAGGGTAGCGATATGAAAGACTATCATGAATTTAGGTCAAAGAATTTGCCTAGAACTACTAAAGTAGAAATATTTACAAGACACAACAAAGTCATGTAGAAATATTATTTTCTAAGACCCTTTTTTTTTTGTCAGGGGAAAATCATCCAATGACTTCTCCCGCCCAGGATAAGGCGAGAGAGAGTGTCAGACTCTTACTGACTAAAAACCCCCCCGTTCCTTCTCCTGCTCTGGGCCGAGGTCGCGGTGCCTCATTGCGCTTACCCCGCAGCCCCGGCTATACATCAGCCCTTTAGGGCCCCGACTGTGGTGGTCTATTGGCTCTTTGAGGCGCGCGCGGAACGCTACGCGCCGTACGCTCGGGTCCAGTTCTGGTCGGGCGGCGAGCTACCCTTACTCGCCGTCCGCAGACCCGCGCTTACGGTGGCCGGAGATCATCCCTCGATCCCCGACGTCCGGAATGTCGCCTTCTGCGGCGGCTGGGGCGCGAGGAGGATAGTTCCCTCACGCGCTCCGCCTCCTCCTTTGCGAGCATAACTGCTTCGCAGAAGGAGGAGATAGCTTCCCAGTTCCTCTCACGCTGCACCATGGCCTCGATTAAGGCCGGGCGCGAGAGGTCGCTGCCGCCGATCACTTCCCTGAGAACACGGCGGTGCTCAGCCCAAGCAGGGCACTCCGCCACCGTGTGCTCCACCGTGTCCTCCAGGTGATCCTCACAATGACGACACTCGGGCCTTTTACTCCCGCTGGATCCGAAACAGGAACCTACCAAAGCTGCCGTGCCCGGTAAACACCTGTGTCAGGCGGAAGGTGAGGACGCCGTGGCGTCTCTCAAGCCACTCCTCAAAGAGGGGTCTTACCGCTGCTATAGTAGCGTGCCCGATTTTCTAAGACCCTAAAGAAATGACATCGTCGTGTATAAATTAATAAGTTTTATTGTTAAACAGACCATAAGACTTCTGCACAAATGGGCCGGCTCGTCTGGAATGATACCATGCCCTCATAGAAAACGCTAGCCTTGCCTCGCTGTGTGTTGTGTGTGTGTGCGCCGTGTGATTACTGTAAGAACAGTTCGTCTCCATTCTTATACGCAACCCCCAAATATGGGGGTTCTCCAAATCTCTAACCACGAAAGGCCCTCAAAGAACTTGCTTCTTCTTGTCGTTTTCAGACCCGTCTGCTAGATTTTCGACCTGTTCTAAAGAAAAAACTAGCGATACTGTAGACTAGTAGACTAACTATACAATATTTTTATAAAATATCCATCTATTACTCAACGGTTTCAGGTGGCTCCTCAATTCAGACGTTCAAATTGAGGAGCCACTTTTGCATCAAAATAACTAGTGATACATATATTTTGCTGCAAAATGAAAGAAAGGAAAAAATAATTGATTATAAATCTAGCATTCATGCTGCTAAATAATCTACAATGATGTTAATAATAGTGATATTCTAAAATCTGATGTGGCTCCTCAATCCTTATGGACATACTCTTAATCGGTTCTTGCGACACCCTTTACAATGTATGAAAGGAGAAACAAGTATCTCAAATAAATTTGGATTCTATTCACCTGTGTAAATAAAACACATTTTGACCTAGCATAAAATTACTTTACTATAATAACTAAACAAATACAATTACATGATACAACAGAATGACTGACGAAAACAAAACACAAAATAAAACGACTTAAATACACAATAACCACACAGTGCAAAACAACTTTGAACCCAGCACGCCTAGATTGGAAATCCAAACTACTTCTTGAAAGTGGGTTTCCAGGAGATATTTTCAAGGCCATGAAAGTATCTTTTCATGTTTTGGCCATCAGCCCATTTCGAGTCCATGTAGCTGTCGTCTTCATCAGCTTCCAACTTCTTCCATTCTTCCTGCTTTCTGTAAGCATGGAGAGTGAGTTGCTTGCGTTCTTCTTCGCTCATAATTGGCTCCCTTCCTGGAGCTCCCTCGGAATTGGAGCAGAGCTTCACTGTGACTTTGGTTTTGTTGTTATTCCCTGATTAGATGAAATTAAGTTAGACTGACAATTTATTATTCTTACACTAGCTCCCGCCCGCGGCTTCGCCCGCATGGTTTGTTGATAAAAAATAGCTTATGTCTTATTCCGAAGTGTAGCCCATGCCTGTGGCAAATTTATTCCAGATCCGTGCAGCCGTTTTGGCGTAATTGATTAACAAACATCCAAATATCGTAACTTTCGCATTTATAATATTAAGTAGTAAGAGTAAGATTATGTAATTTGACTGCGGCGCTGTTACAACTCTCCCACGGAACAACTCTATGTGTGATGCACAAATTGTTGTTACGGGACTATATGTGATATGCATGAGAAATTGTATGTTTGTAAACGTATCGACGACATTGGAGAATTTTCTATTTCTCTATCAGCCTTATTTTAACTATGTATCTATGCATAAAAGGGATCGTCAAAAATGAGTATAACTAAGTTAGTGCATCCTATTTTTCTGAAACCAATCCTATTTTTATTCAACTTAAATTAAAAATTAAGTCCAGTTTATTTTTGTACATTATTATTAGTGTAGTGTCGAAATAATTACACAAATTAGAATCAATCATTATTTTCGTACCTGCATATTAAATAATTGTGCAGGCTGTACATAAATACATATATGATAATATGCTGTCATGCCGAAATTTCCAAGGAATACGTTGATTATATACAACCCTTTTTTATATGGGCGGAAAACGAATCACGAGTTACCTGATGTCAAGCAACCCGCACCGCCTATGAGCATGCAACACTAGTGCTACCAGTTACAAGTGCGTTGACGACGTTTTGAGGATAAGAGTTCTCATGGCGAAACACAACACGACGACGCTGGTTCTTTTATGCAGGCTTTCTGTGAGGCCGTGATATCACACCGGTCGAGTCAAACCATTCCTTAAGTATGGTCTCACATTCCTAATCTCCAAATCTAAGATATACTTACCCAAATGGTCCCTCAGTTTATTTCCACTGATAAACTTCTTCCCACACGCCCAGAGGCAAGCTCTGGATGGATCGATGACTTCAGTGGAGGCGTGGGTTCCAGTCAGGTCTTCCACGTTGTCCAACTCCATCCGAACTGGGTCGTGTGGTGGTAGCCCACCAGGGAACACGATCTTGGTGGCGCCACGAAGCTCATCGAGAGCTCTAGCCACGTCTTTCTGAGTCAAGCATTTACGAAGGTCCACCTGGAATATTGGATTAAGTTTTATTATGGTATAAGTTGGCAAACAAACAGACTGATTACCTGATGGTAAGCTACTCATTGATACTCATAACACCAAAAGAGTAACTGAAGGAAGAAAGAAAGAAAAAGTATTCATTCGCGTCTGGGACGCATAAAAGACACAAAACGAACAAGATAATAAAATAAAGTTAAAATAAAAATACATTGAGCAAGGTAAAAACAACAACTGGAAGTGCGTTGCCAACGTTTCGTTGGTTATTAGGGTTTAAGGATGGGAGGCTGGAAAAAATGGGGCCTCCAATAACCTCACTTATCCGGCGAAACACAACATAAGTGTTTCACACCGGTCTTCTATGCGGCCGTGGTATCACTCCGGTCTACCTGGACCATTCGTACTGAAGCATGGCTCTCCCATACTAAAATTTAACACTTTTGTGTTGAGAACCGATTGAAGACCTAATTACGTAAAGAAGAATACCAATCGTTATACTAAAATCTACATAGTTTTAACCTTAAACCTTACATTCTTCTTTATTCTTCTTTCTGGTCAACAAAGCACGCAAACCAAGAACAAAATATACCTACATGTTTCTTACTTATGAACTCCTTGGCGTCCTCTGCAGCTTTCTTGATGACTTCTTGCATATTGGGAGGGGGAGCAAGGCCACAGCGACGTCCCATCTCATCTTTCACGAAGACATGACCTGGTGGAGCGCAGCGCTTCGCCCATGGATCTTCCAGTTTCAGTTCTTTAATCTGTAATTTGAAGAGATGATGCAAATATATTATTATTCAGCCAATGCACTAACATCGAGGCTGACGAAAATTTAACACGAAGCGATTCGCCTCTTGTTTTATCATCAAAACCACGAGTGAAATTCCTTACTGTCTGTATGCTCGGAAGAGTATAACCTGGGTGTCTTCAAGGCCCGAGTGAATAGGTTGCTTATCAGCAAGCCTGCTCCATCGTAGGCCGCATCATAGCTTATAGCGGCCAACCGCCAGCTCACTACTTATAAATAAAAAACATATTAAAAAAACAAACCTGATCTTCATTAAGGCCTTGCATTTCAGGCGGCAAGAAGGTCCCATGTTTTTGTAGCTCATCTATTTCATAGCACAAACGGTTCACTTTCAACCTTCCATTGAAAATAGCGGTTATATCCTTAACAACATCATCGACCTCCTTATCTACATCAGTCTCGTAAAGAAACTGATTCTCATCATTTCTTTTCACAAGAAAAATCACCATTTTCTTTTTATGAAAAATATCTTCTACGTAATGCAGAAAAGTATGCGCTGTTTCTTCGATGTTATTGAACTAATGGTCGTTGCTATGGTAACGGAACGTTTCTTTGACAACTGTTGCCTAGGTGATAACGAAAGAGGATTCGTTCTTAATTCGGTCTCAATGAATGTTGTTGATTGTTGAACAAAAAGTTGTTGTTCTCCTTCGAATGTGTAGGCAATGTATGTGTGAGTAGGTATGATCCTACGTAATCGTACCTATACCAGGAATCAGTCAAGCATTATAAGATTTAAAAGGGAAAAAACAAATTATTTGTAAACCTTCAAGGAAATGCAAACCTACTCCTTCTTAAAAGGCCGGCAATGAACTTGTGTCTTGTCTGGTGTAGATGGTGTCCATGGGTGGCGCTGATAGCTTACCATCAGGTTATCTGTCTGCTCGCTTGCCTTCTATTCCATAGAGAGTGTAGTTCATCATAATGTGTATTTTGAATATTCATGATTTTCGAATTTTGAAATAATTTGGTGTTAGAATTTTCGTTTTCTGTCTATAATTAGATTGTTAATATCTAATTTTCCCACTAAGAACTAATTAACATCAAAAACGCCAACGTACCAAAATAACTTCTTATTATGAACGAAACAAAATTTAAAATTACAACTAAATCCAATCATAAATAATAACTTCTTAAAATAAATCAAATCAAAATAATAATTAATAACGACGTTTCGACAAATAATACAAATGATTGAATAATGGGTGCCTACTGTTAATTGAATCGACGCTTCCCGAGTTTATGGGAGGTATTGCTCTTATGAAAACAATAGGCGCTTTTGTTCAACCCCTGTTTCTGAGTTGTTCTCGGTCTCTCGTAAAAAGATTCATTAGACTGTGGTTATGTTTTTGTATATAATTACTGTTTTACGGGTTCAACGTACAAATTACTTCGATTTTAATTGAAAGGGAATCATTATGTTGTAACTTATTGAGAGGTAATTTGTTATCCCACTTTTCTCCTGTATTGTGGATGTGTTTTTCAAACTCGTTATACCTAGAAACCGTTGTGGACATCACAAAGAGTTGTTCTATGAGGTAATATAATATGTGACGCTTTTTACGACAGCTGATCTGTCAACTGCGTCAACTATGCAGTCAAATATTGTTGTTGTATTTTTTTTTAATATTTTATCTTTGGTATCATTATTATTGTGTTGTTGACGACCCTGTTTCACGAATTGTGATCACTGGTTCCATCCAAAGGTTGTCTGAAACCGCATTTAACTACAAGACCGACCATTATACATTTAATGTTATATATTAAATTTTCCTGTATTTTTATTGGCATAATAAAATATATTAAGTACTTAAGAGTTTGCGGTAACGCATGGGATATTTTTTGTTAAAAACGTACTTTTTCTAATTCTGCTATTTTACCAGCCAATATTGTGCCATCCGTACGTACTTAGTGAAACAAATTCTCTACAACAGTGTACATAGATGCATAACAATTGTATGAAATCAAAATCCATAAAGGTACAATGTTGTTCCTTATTCTGAAAGTCCAATCAAAAACTTCGTATCCACAAGTACCTATCGCTTGTCATCACTCTACTGCCGAAGCAGTTCACTTGGTCATTGACCTTTAGACATAAAGTAAGGATAGTTGAACCTAAATATAGCCTCGTTTGAACTATGAAACGAAATACTCCAATGTACTACTAAAACCTTTCCTATCCGATATCAAATTTTATACCATATCTGTGTACAAAGCACAGCTTTATTTTCCATATACTCGCATAAAACAAAATTCCAACGAAAAAATATGATAAAATATAAAAATAAACAAAATATTGTACGGCGAGCCGGGTCCACGCTAATCTAATGTACCGTAAGATGATCACTGGGCTGGAAAATGCCGACCCAGCCAGATAAAACATCTAACTATAATTAAATTTTCGTATTTCGCCCCTCATACGTTGTCGCTGTTCAAATATGTAGCTTAGTTACTATTTGCTATGCGTTGTTTGTTAGGCGTCTCTGATTTGAATATGCTATTTATTCTAATGATATTGTATTATTGTATTATCATACTATTTTAGTTATGTATTATTTACTAATAATAATCGTTTTGGAATCTCGACTCATAATAATATAGAAAATAACTTACATTTAATTGTAAATTTCCGTAATAATTACAACTTAGATAGATCCGGTTTAAATTCAAAATCCGTAGCGGTGTACTACCAATAAATTACACATGTGAACACATTCACAATACCCACAGATACACAACACAAATCACTCCGATTATCGAGATATTCCAATTCGAATAGATAATCGATTGTATCGAATATCCTGTGAGGACGATTGAACCGAGTTGCATCCGTATCGATATAGTTTATGTTTCATCGTGTACATGTTCAAACAAGCTCGGGTTTGACATGTTTTTCTTGATCTACGGAAAACGTTTTGAAATTGAGATTATATTGAAAATGGCCAACGTATGAAATATTTTATGTCGTTTTTTTGTAGGAAGCTCGTTGTGTTGTATACGAGTAATAGTGTTTTTATTTTTAACGTTTGATAGAACAATATTGCTTAGTTTTTTCTTGATTGCTGAATAAAGAAGTTTTTAATCCAATAGTAATAGGAGCTCCACTTACGGCATTGTTCTTTTTTCGATATATTATTAAAATTCGCAACACCAAGGAAGAATGCTTTGTCAGCATTTCGTGGGTTTTTGTGGATTTGTGGATTCTGACTTAGGGGATTTTTAACCTTTGTTAACGCGGTTCTAGGGACAGCAAGAAAAGGTACCTCGCCGTTCGACCAGAACTCGAACCGATTTTTCCGCGCGTGACTTAAAGAGCACCTAGACAATCACAGGTAGGGCCCATTGAAGCCCATATTTAGCCAGTTGCAAACGCAATATATTACAACGAGCCTGACCCCGGCCAAGAGAAGAAACGTAGTGGAAGCTAGAAAGAGACTCCCTCTGGCCCTACTCAGATAGAATAGGCGATAGAAGTAATTTGATAATACTCTCCCGTCAAACACAAAAGCAAGGTTTTGTTACAAAAAAATTGTGATTTGCGGGAAGTCAGAAATGAACATTCCTCTAGCTACGAAATTTTATATTGAATTTACTAGCATAACCTTCTTTCTTTTGCTAACAATAACTGTAAAACGGGGTCAACATGTTATATCGGCCATTTGGTGCAGGTTTGGTCTAAATGATTTACAAGTTCGGTGCAAAAGTATGCTCGTTACATTATTCCGAACAAAAAACTGTTCGAAAGACACGAGTATTGTAAAATTGTAAACGGCGCTTACAACAACGATTTTAATGTTCTTTGGCGCTGTTTTTGGAATAAATCGAATGATGTTGATTATTGGAGTATTTTTTTTTTATTTGATAAGTTTGCAAACGATCGGACGGATCACCTGATGGTAAGCAATCACAGCGCCCTTGGACACCCGCAACAACAGAGGAGTTACGTGTGCGCTGACGACCTTTTGGGGATTAAAGATTTGGAAGATTTAGAGATTGGGGAGGGGACGGATTGGGCCTTCGGTTACCTCACTTACACGGCGAAACACAACGGTTTTTATGCTGGTTTTCTTTGAGGCCGTTGTATGACTCCGGTCGAGCCGACCCGACACGAATGTAAGAGCATGGCTCTCCAATACTTACAACTTGGAGTATGTTGGGTTTTCTTTTGATAATTTCTAAAGAAGGCAAGAGGAAGTATTAGGCTCTTACTGACTAAAACCCCGGTTTTTTCTCCTGCTCTAGGCTAAAGCCGCGGTACATTACTGTGGTTCCAACCACAGCCTTGGTTGAACATCTGCTCTGTTTTGCTCCATCAGTGGTGGTATAACCTGTTGTGTTTTTATAATAAGTATCGTGAGACATACTAAATTAACTAAAATTCGCGGGTTACTCACGTGTGAATGTTGAGAAAAGCTCTACTAGTTTCGAACCACAGAGGGGTTCTTCCTCATGAGCAGCGTGCGCGGACGCGGCGACGTCGCGCAGCCTACTGACGTCCGAGCACGAATTTTAGTTAGTATAACCTGTTGTCTGCCGTTATATGACAAACAATAGAAACTCATTGTGTCTCGCGTGGATCCGCGCTCCGGCGTATCACGGGTTAAAGGCTCTTTGAGGCACCATAGAACGCTACGCGCCTTATTCTTGGTACTTACTGGTAATGAGAGCAAATCTGCTGGTAGAAGCTGGCTTCTACTTAAGCTGGCTAATACTTCTAAGATCTTTCTTAAGAATAACTAATTCCCGACTCAAAAACGACGAGGTGTTTACGCTTGACGTGTCTGTGTGTGTATATGTCTGTTTGTGGCGTTTGTAGCTCTCAAACGGATGATCCGATTATGTTGCAGTTTTTATGTTTGAAAGGTTTATTAGTCAAGAGTGTTCTTTGCGGGAATCGGTTAAGGTCTTCAAAGTCATCAGGTCATTTGTTAGGTGTGATAGGAATGTTGCACACTTAGTTTACGTGTACCTTTGCTTTTTTTTTTGCTTTTTATACGACTTACAATTTTCAATTGTTTTCTTTTGTTCCAGATATCGCACATAATATGTGGTCACCGCCACGGCCATGACATCTCCACCGAGGACCCGGAGGTCATAGAGCAGAACTATGATAACTCTACTCATCATGGAAAGGTAAATACAAGGGATTTTCAACCTTACACGCTTTGGTAGTGCGTTGATGTTGTGATAAAGTTTGAAGATAGCTTGAGAATATTACGTTGATATTGTGACAAACTTTGAGGGTAGCTTGATGTGCTGGCGTTTATGACCGTATAGCAATATAACACTTACTCGTTTTAAGTGAGAGTTCCAGTAGCTACACAGACAGCTACAGCTACATTGAGTAAGGGTAGCTCGCCGCCCGACCAGAACCAAACCCGAGCGTACGGCGCGTAGCGTTCCGCGCGCGCCTCAAAGAGCCAATAGACCACCACAGACGGGGCCCTAT